CCATTTCTGTCGTCATCTGATGGTCACGATCGCTGCTTTGTATGCCTGGGCATTCGGCATGCAGCAGCAGCGTTCGCGGATGACTCGCGTTCCTCCTGCGGGACACTGAGGTCGAGACTCAATGATCTCACTAGAGTGAGAGTCCCGGTCCCCCCTACTCGATGGGCTTCCTCCACGGGGGGCCCGTCGACCCAGGGACCTGGTGATCTGACGGTGTGGAACAAAGCCCCGACGATTCCTCAGCCAGCGAGCGTTAGTGGAGGGCCGGGGGAGAATCTTTTGTTAAAAGAAAAAGAAAGACTCGACATCATGACTGAGCGCACAGACAGGATTGGGTGCGCTCGACGTCCCAGTGCGTCAGCCCACTCGTTCCTCTCTGTCTCTGAGGGCGCGGAAGGGAACGTGTGTCGTCCCCGGGCTACGCCACTCCCTTCCCCCTCTATCGCCAGACCCCCGGCAGAACGCTCTGCCTTCCCTGGTGTCTTCTGTCGGGGACGCTTACTTTCACGTCTCCATTTTGCCTCGACGCGGACCGCTTCTTCGGTTTGCTTTCGAGGACCAGGCATATCAGTACACGGTTCTCCCATTGGGGGTTAGCTCTGTCGCCTCGCGTCTTCACGAAGATCGTCGAGGCAGCCCTTGTTCCCCTTCGCGAGCACGGGGTTCGCATCCTGAACTATCTCGACGACTGGCTGATACCGGCACACTCTCGAGCTCAGGTTTGCGAACACAGAGACCTGGTGCTCCGGCACCTAGCCCGTCTGGGCCTAAAACTTCGCCCCTTGCAGAGGATTCACTGCTGACTTGTCTTGGACAGTTCGAGGGCAAGAGTGCGGTCCCACTGAAACCGTTTCAGAGGCTCCTGGGGCACGTGGCAGCCGCGGCAACGCGATCGAGTCCCGAGGTGGGCACGGCATCGCGGCTCGCCCCGAGTTCCAGAGTTCCTACGCTCACGCTGGTTGTCGCAGCTCGCCCGCCACCTCTTGTTATGTGGAGTCAGAAGCACCTGAGGTCCCTTCGTGCAGTGTGCATTCCAGGAGACCGGAACCTTGCAGCCGACGAGCGGTCACGGGTCCGCCCCAGCTGATTTGGGACCGGTTCGGGGCGGCACAGACAGATCTGTCGGCCTCCCGGGACTCATCCCACCGCGCCCAGTTTTATTCCCTGGCCGAGGGTTCGCTCGGCACAGATGCGCCGGCGCACGGCTGGCCGCGGGGCCCACGCAAGTATGCGTTTCCCCCAGTGAGCCTTCTTGCACGGGTGTTGTGCGAGATCAAGGAGGACGAGATCGAGCAGGTCTTGTTGGCGGCCCCCTACTGGCCCAACAAGACAAGCAAGTGTGGCTCCTCGACGGGACGAGGCTACATCCGCCTCGTCCTCCCCTCGTACCCTCTTGGGAGCTCTCGGTAGTTTGAAGTGCTCTGCAGAGGCCTCCCTTTGAAGCTTTGCAATCGGTAGAGTTTCTGTCCATGAAGACAGCACTCCTGGTTGCATTGGCTTCCATCAAGAGGGTGGGGGACGAAGCGTGCCTAGAGTTGGGGCCGGCTTACTTTGCCCACCGCTGTCGCTCTGGACGCCGGCTAGGTGCCTCCATGCGCACGGTTCCCCACGGTGACCGTCTCGTGTGTGTTTCCACTGTGAGCCTCTCTGAGCATGTGTCTTCCCTTGGCAAGCCGTCTGCCACCCCTGGAGTCAAATTTTAGTAGCCGCCTCGGTTGGTGCTCCATATGCGTTCCTATGTGGCCATATGTGTATTTGTAAGTCCTCCCCCTGGTAGGCAGCTGGTAGCGTGTCCCTCACGGAGTGGAGCGGAGTACGCTATGCAGATTTGCGCAGCCCCGAGGCGTTGCACGCCATCGGCTCGTTTCGAAATTCTCGAAGAGGAAACCCCCGATCTCCGTCACTTCTGACGTTACGTCTCCGTGAGCTGTGTTTTTGGTCCAAATGATTCCCAAATAAAGGACTTGGTTGTAAGAAATGTGTTTGTGTCATTCTTTTGAGAGAACAAGTGTATGTGATCATTTATGTAAGGGGTGAAAAATGGTACAAAGGGCTGGGAAAATGTTCCCTGGTGACTTGGAAGCAAGCGCGCTATCGGTTGACGAGATGCGTGTCAGGTGTGGGCCGGTGAAGCAGTGGTTTGTGGCTTGTTCTACCACAAGCCTAAGGACGACTGCTTCAGGAATGTTAAGGCTACCTTGTGGTTCATGACTCCATTGAGCTCGTGCCTTGTTGAGTCTATGTAGTGAAGCAGTGGTTTGTGGCTTGTTCTACCACAAGGCTGACTTGATTGAGCTCGTTGTTAGTTGAGCAGTGTATGTAGTGAGTGTGTGTTGTGAAGCAGTGGCTTGTGGCTTGTTCACAACATACACTCACTACATACACTGCTCAACAAGCAACGAGCTCAATCAAGTCAGCCTTGTGGTAGAACAAGCCACAAACCACTGCTTCACTACATACACTTAACAAGGCACGAGCTCAATGGAGTCATGAACCACAAGGTAGCCTTAGCGTACCTACCTTGTGGTTCATGACTCGATTGAGCTCGTTGCTTGTTGAGTGTATGTAGTGAAGCAGTGGTTTGTGGCTTGTTCTACCACAAGGCTGACTTGATTGAGCTCGTTGCTTGTTGAGCAGTGTATGTAGTGAGTGTATGTAGTGAAGCAGTGGTTTGTGGCTTGTTCTACCACAAGGCTGACTTGATTGAGCTCGTTGCTTGTTGAGCAGTGTATGTAGTGAAGCAGTGGTTTGTGGCTTGTTCTAGCACAAGGCTACCTTGTGGTTCATGACTCGACTGAGCTCATTGAGTGTATGTAGTGGTGTGTGGCTTGGTCTAGCACAAGGCTACCTTGTGGTTCATGACTCGATTGAGCTTGTTGAGTGTATGTAGTGAAGCAGTGGCTTGTGAGTGTAGAAATGGCTGTTGACTTGATAACCAGACCAAAGGTGTTTGAAGCATTTACTACACACACACACACACACACGAGCAACTGGTTTTGGGGGAGAGGATTGTAGCGGGGACAGCATTGCAAACAGGGTTTCTCCTGGAGAGTTGAGCAGCAAAGCTGAGGAGCGCGTACACCTCCAGGGCCCAGCCAAGATGAGGGCAGCCTGCAGAGTAAGAGTAAGAGAGAGAAGGAGAGTCAGAGTTACCCGCCCGCGTCTCTCGGTTTCGTCTTCTCGGTTGAGTCGCGCAGGTAGAGTCGCAGGTCTTGTCACTCGCTGGTCTTGGCTCGCTGTCTTGGCTCGCTGTCTTTGCTCGTTGTCTTTACCCGAGTCGGTCTTCACACGAAAAGGGATGAACACGCTGCCCTCCACATGCCGCTCTCCTCATGCCGCTTCCGCTGCCGCTTCACTAATGCTCACCCTTTTATACAGCTCACCTCGTCAGCCCGCACCTGGCGCTCCACTCGTCAGCCAATCGCGCGCTTGCTTCCGAGTCACCTGACGCTCCACACAGCGGTTGCTCGTTACACGTCAGCAGACACACACGCCTCCTCGTTACCGAGGACCAATCGCAACGGCGCATCCGAGGACCAATCGCAACGGCTCCCTGGGGGTCCGAGGACCAATCGCTGCAGCTCCCTGCGGGTCAAGAGAACAATCACAACAGCTCACTGTGTGTCCAAAGCCAAGACTGCTCACACACTCATCTTTGTGTGTTTACTCTCAAGAGTTTCATTCATGTCTGCTATCCTGCCAAGCTTAACTTGACTCATACTAATCATGTTCATATCATCTCTTTATAACAATCAGGCCACAAACAACCTTGTGTATTCCTACGTGTCTTTTTATTGAGCTCAAAACAAAAACTCTGCTGATGACACCACATCACCCCGTTCAACACACAACTACTCAGCCAACAGTGCTAGCAAGAAACACAAGTCATTCCTCAGACACGTCACTCGAATCCCACTCGTTCCAAATTCTGGGATGGTTCGTTGGAGACATTTTCTTCTGCCGTGACTCGGGAATGACTTGCGCAGCCATTCTCAACTCCAGTCCTCGCGACGTCTCCCTCGTGAACAGAACCCATTCAGATCCTCAGCACAAGGGACACTCGCAGGTCGTGAGGACTGGAGTTGAGAACCGCGGCACTGCGGGTACCAAAAAACATTATCGGACAAGTCATTCCTCAGACACACCACCAAAAAGCACCCCAACCGATACACATTTGGAGCATCTCCCAGTGTCAAATCCACACTGCACATTTCAATGACACAGTTCGTTGGAGGGATTTGCTTTTCTTGTGGTGCGCCTCACGAATGACTTCTTTGCTAGTGCTTCCAATCTTTCCTCCCTGTAGCCCAATCGCTAGACTCGGGGATCAAACATTGGAAGCACTAGACCGCTTGTGTTCCCAGTCGAAAATTCACAGCCTCTCAATCCATCACTGCTTTAAACCAACCAAACACGACTTCTTTCCAATAGCATAGCTTGTCCCATTCTTTTACAAAGTGAATGATGTCAACAACAATACAACAAGCCATCCCAGTGGAAAGAAAACGTCTTCAACTCAAAGCTGCTTATTCTCGACCAGGAGCACAAACTCACCAGGCTCCAAACTCACCCGGCGCCGCTTCCTCTCGACGCTCAATCAAAGTCCTGCGCAAACAAAAACACAAACCATTTCAAACCACTTGCAATCACCACCAAACAACTTCAGCTCCAACGTTGACGTCCGTACTCACCGTGCGTGTGCACTCCTGCGCATCGGAGTCCTCTTCCCCGTTCCACAAACATTTGCACTTACAGACAGACTGCTTCGCCTTGGCGTTCGTTCACTCTACATTCAAATCAACACGTGCCATTTACAATCGCTTACAAACAGAGCTACAAAAAAACACAAATTCTTTAATCATTTACACACATATTCACACAAACAAGCCTTCACATCTTTCTCTGCTTCACAGTGAAACGTCACTTGCGGTGACCGACGCAAGTCCACGGGAGTGCCGTTTCGGACAGAGTCCACGATGTCGCACGGGTGGCTCGGTTGCGCGTGCGAGACCGCTTTCCTCCCACAAGCCATGAGGTGCCATGAGGGTTCCACCGTCCTAGTGTGACCCGAGACCGTCACCCTTTTCCCTAGATGGCACGTCAAACACAGAGAACGGAAAACAAATTCAATTACTCCGTAACGCACCACCTTTCGTTACTCCAATGTTTAACTAAACATGTGTATGTTCTGACCTCTTCCATCTTCACTTTGCCTCAACAGAACCACTGCAGAAAGAGAGGGACCAAAGCCAGCTTACTCCGTTTGATCTTCATAAGAGGACGGCAGCAGTGAGCCGTCGGGTGAAAACCGGACGCGATGAACCCAGCTCGGGTGGTGACTGTGTCGGACTTAGAACACAACAATTGGGTTTGTAAATGCTTCTCTTCTCTGGCCTTGCACCAAGGCCTACCTGGAAACCAACCGTCAGTAAACGCCCTCTGCTCCAGCTGATTTCCGTTCAGAGAGAGAGAGAGAGAGAGAGAGAGAGAGAGAGAAAATAAACACAGGAATTTCAATTTCATATCTCAATTCTTTCTCAATTGAGGAACATCAGCAAATCTAACAAACTGTACAAATACCTCTTTGTCACCTCATTCCACGGAGTCGTTGATGAGATGAGCCGATCCCATTACCTGAGCTTTTTCTTTAAAGCTCCTAAAAAAAAGTCATCCTTCCAAAATCCCCTCCCATCAGAGAAACCACCAAAGGAGAACCTAATGGAAGAAAGTGAGGTAGAGGACAGTTGACAAACTCAATCAAACAAACTGATCATTAATCTAGTTGGACCTTTACCTTCACTCACAATGCTGCAGCCCTGTTCTGGACATTTCTGTGGCTTCCCATTGACATACAAACCACTTCCAGTCTTGGACCTTCACAAAAACAAACAGCACCACGTACCTCCGAGTGACTGCCGTGTTGCCTTTCCGTCAGCTCCAACCAGTCTGGACGTTCTCTGACTTCAGCGAGCCATTTAAAGGCCACAATGCATGACATGCTGCTCTGTGATTGGCTAATTAGATCAGAGTTAACAAGCAGGTGTAACTGATAATGCGACAGGCCTATACAGCGTAGACGCTTATCAAGGAATGCTACTTTTAAATCAACTAAACAGTGTTTCACATTTCTGCAAGCCAGGCGTCATCTTTTATCAAAGGATGCCACAATGATGAAGTTTCTCATTTCTTTCTTTCTTTCTTTCTTTCTTTCTTTACAACAGTCCCAGCCGGTATTGATTTTGACCTTCATATATTGCAATATTGAATGGATCTACACAAATCACTCTTAAAGTATGCTTCCTGGCCTAATAACTCTTTTTTGGATGGAAACCAAAAAGAAGGGGACAAATGCCAATGTGTGTGTCTGTGTGTGTGTGTGTGTGTGCATATGTGCCTATATCTTTGATTTTTTTCATATCTTTTATTTCAAGCTTTTTACAACCACCCCACCCCAGCATATAAGTAACAAGAAAACAAAGTACATCAATAATACTACAAACCAATCAAATAAACAAGTACATACGCACAAAAACATACAATGCACATTCCCACTATACAAATAGTACTTGAATACACGTCGTCAGCGATGCTCTCACCCTCACCCGGGCGATTGTGTCCAGGTTTATTTTCTATTTTCCATCGCGCTGCCTTTTCAGCGGCTTCTGGCCAGCGAAGCCCACTTCGACCGGCTCACGGCGGGCTTTCCTTCACCCGTTCCTCCGACGCTCGGCCCTCTTTCTTTCCTGGGCTTCCTCCGTTCGAGTCCCAGTAACCATATCCAGTCGGTGCCAGTCTCTCGCTGTTGCCGGCACGCCCCCTTGGGTCTTTCTAGGAAGGACATCGTACACCGACTGGACCAAGAACTTGAAATGGTGCGCTGGAGGACAGGCCCGCCTTCCAAAGTTCTCAGCTGTTTGCTCCCGCTTTGTCCAGGCACCCCGAGCTTCCTCCACCTCAGCTCGTACCTCCTCCAAATACACACATATTAAAAGTCAAACGTTTCAAACAAAATGCCAATACCCATTTTAACTCCTTTCTTCCACATCAACAAAATTGCTTTGTTCGCTATTGTACAGTCTGAATTTGATTAAGATTACAGGTCACTGAAGAAGGGGCCCAGCCAAATATTGCACTATTGGGATCATGAGGAAAATCACTCTTAACCCTTATGTGCTGTTGTGGCTTTTTTCAGCCACTAAGGTCTGGTGTTTTCCAGTCTCGATTTGGCCGTCACTTTTTCTTTGTTTCGGCGAACGGAATGATTTTTGGTGACGAATCTTATTTTGACACATATTTTGGGAAAATGCTTTGAAATTTTTCCAACACTCAACAGTACACTCTGGCCAAATTCACTACCCTTTCGTTCTGTTCGTGGCTGAAAAAAAGCCACTACTTTAAACTGCTGTAAAAATGTATCAGATAAATATTTTTGTCACATTTTTTGCCATAAATCTATGAACCGACCTCAGTCCTGATCAAAACTGCTCAATTTTACAAAAAACATCAGGATTTCAACTCTTGAATTGCCAAATTCATAAATGGTGTCACTGATTTGGGAACAAAAACAACACGCAAAATGACTTCTTTTCAACATCACAGTCTTGGACATGTCAAAGATTAGAAACAACATTGGTTTTGATGCATTGTTCGTTTTCGTGCAGCATCACAATTTCACTTTTTCTCCCTCGTTTACTGTTCGTGGCTGTTTTTGCCCCGTTGACTTCCATTGTAACAACATTTTTTGATTGCAAAGCCATGCCACCATAAAATCGTGCATTTTTCATTGTTGATGGTTTTCCCTGTTGGGAACAGGTCAAATTTGTCCTTTTTACTGTTGATAACCAGGTGGAACCATTAACCCTTCAGACAGGCCCCTTTATGGAGTATAATAGCATATTACAGTGTGTGTGTGTGTGTGAGAGAGAGAGTGTGAGAACTCACCTTGATGCGTCTGAGAAAATAAAAACATACACTTGAGCTCTCAAAACTACATGGAGTAAACAAAAACAAAGTACGTTTTTGCCAGCATTTGCAGACTAAACAAAAACAAAGCAAGTGGATATAAACGCTTGTCATTTGATGGTGAGAAGAGCAACGAGCAACATGAGAGAGGGCTTGACTTGTCTTGTAGTGAACTTTTAGAGATGATTATGCGGTCTGACCCCTCCAGCGAGCTGCAGGAGGTACTGTCTTTTCACTCTGACCGCAGACTCAGGACAGTCAGATCCTGGCTTGATCCCGATGATCCTGGATCTGGGTGGACTGGGAGAATCTCGAGAGGGACACGGTGGCTCTGAAAATCGCACGACCGCTGCGATAATCCTATACAGGCGACGTGTGGACTCCCCTCTGGATCTGTAGACGCTGGCCAAAATCAGCAGCCCCATGTAGGCACAGAGATCTGTGGAGTCCACCCCAGTCCAGTTTCTCATTGTGCGGTGCCCATGGAGATTGGTCATGCTGACAGTGAGGTCAGTCGTCTCCTCCGTAAAAAACAGATTGAACACAGAATCCATGTTCCGGACCCTTGCGATAGCATAGCGTGACGGCCCTCGACTCACGCCTCTTGCAGGCTGAAGAAAGGGAGTTGTGTCCGCATTGGTGGAAAACCATTCTTCACCATTTATCCCAATCCACCTAGATCCAGGATCTACCTAGAGCTCACTGAAGGCAAGGAGGATTCAGAGGATCCTGGATCTGTGGACTCCACAGATCTCTGTGCCTACATGGGGCTGCTGATTTTGGTCTACAGATCCACAGGGGAGTCCACACGTTTCCTGTGGGATGATCGCAGCGGTCGTGCCATTTTCAGAACCACCGTGTCGCTCTCGAGATTCTCCCAGTCCACCCAGATCCAGGATCATCGGGATCAAGCCAGGATCTGACTGTCCTGAGTCTGCGGTCAGAGAGAGAAGACAATACCTCCTGCAGCTCGCTGGAGGGGTCAGACCGCATAATCATCTCTAAAAGTTCACTACAAGACAAGTCAAGCCCTCTCTCATGTTGCACGCTGCTCTTCTCACCATCAAATGACAAGCGTTTCTATCCACTTGCTTTGTTTTTGTTTAGTCTGCAATTCTCACCATCAAAAGGCAGCAGATGCATAAATACACTTACTTTGTTTTTGTTTACTCCATGTAGTTTTGAGAGCTCAAGTGTATATTTTTATTTTCTCAGACGCATCAAGGTGAGTTCTCACACTCTCACACACACACACACACACACACACACACACACTGTAATATGCTATTATACTCCATAAAGGGGCCTGTCTAAAGGGTTAATGGTTCCACCTGGTTATCGACAGTAAAAATGACACATTTTACCTCTTCCCAACAGGGAAAACCATCAACAATGAGAAATGCACGATTTTATGGTGTCATGGCTTTGCAATGAAAAAATGTGGTTACAATGGAAGTCAACGGGGCAAAAACAGCCACGAACAGTAAACGAGGGAGAAAAAGTGAAATTGTGATGCTGCACGAAAACGAACAATGCATCAAAACCAATGTTGTTTCTAATCTTTGACATGTCCACAATCATATTTTATATTGAAAATAAGTCATTTTGTGTGTGTGTTTTTTTTCCCCCCAAATCAATGACATCATTTATGAATTTGCCAATTAAAGAGTTAAAATCCTCAATTTTTCCGAGGTCGGTTCATAGATTTATGCAAAAAAATGTTAACAAAATATTTATCTGATACATTTTTACAGCGGTTTAAAGTAGTGGCTTTTTTCAGCCACGAACATAACGAAAGGGTAGTGCATTTGAACAATGCACAAGGGTTAAGTATCTTTGAGTAAAAAAAAATACACTAAAAAAACCTCCGTCCAGATTTTACTTCTTTTTGCCCAGAACCACAATAAATGAGCCAATGGACTTGGACTTGGCCAAGATCCTACTTGGTAGGGGTGTGCGATATGACGATTTTTAATCGTGGACGATTAACATGTCTCCACGATCTGCTTTTGAAGAAATATCGTAGTATCGTGTTACAGTGCATTTTATCAGTTCAGTTCTGGCGCCCCGTCTCAACTGTACAAACGCGACGTAGCCTACACACCACACGTGAATGAATAGGTACCGTATGGGACACTGCAATTCACAAAAGTTCATTATTTGCATAAGCCTTGCCGGTTAAACATTTAATTGACGCGCTGATGCGCTGTTCTACCGTGCGCTTTCCTGACCGCATACCCCCCGACGCTCACAGGCACTAGAAGCCTGTCAAGTTATCTTTCAAGTCTTATTATGCTAATACTGTTAAATACACAAAATGTTTACAAAAACAGGCTGTGTCTAAAGTAAAAGCTAACATTTGAGAGAACATCTGGTGTAAGATGCGTCTATATTAAACGCGTCGCGTGCTGGTCTAAAAGCGACAGGAATGGGCTATATGCACGCATAAGTTCCGCATTTGACGTAAGGATGCTCGTCCATTTCCGGTTGTGTAGATTTAAGCGGAGGAGAACCGAGGAAAACGGGATTATGGCAGAGTCTTCAAAATTTACTGTCCTCCCGTCTTTGAAACGAAACGTACACACGTTCAGATGTAATTTTATATATAGTTATATTTATTTAATATAATTTTAAAAAGAAGCATAAACACAACGAGGGGTGTCTGTTTTATCTGTTTTTGTGACTAACGTTTCATTAGTATAACCATGGAGTATAAAATTCAATATAAATTCTCGGTATTGCATTGGACTCTATGATCGGCGGAAGTTATCGAGCATCCCTAATGCTTCACCGGAAATACCGCCGTGCATAGAGCCCATAAATAGTACTGCCACATGTCCTTAAAGGGATAGTTCACAAAAAAAAAAACAATCTGTCATTATTTACTTACTCTAATGTTGTTCCAAACCTGTATTCATTTCTTTCTTGTGCTGAACACAAAAGACGATTTTTTTTTTATGTGGGTAACCAAACAGTTGCTGGTCCCCATTAACTTCCAGGAGAGAACCTATAGATTATTTTTATAGATAAAAAACTATAGGGGGACCAGGCAGCAACTGTTCGGTTACCTACATTATTCAAAATAACTTTTATTTTCAACAGAAGAAAGAAACTAATTCATTTTTGAGGGAACTATCCCTTTAGTAAAAGAAAACAAAAAAAAAACACAAGGAGAAAATCACTCTCTGACTGAGAACTTTAATAGTAGCTTTAATAAGAATCAATGTATTCAGTGAAGTCTATTTTAATTTCATATTTGTTTAATTTAATTACTTTCTTCAATGCTACTGCTAAATACACCTAGTGCATCTGAAAAATTAATGCACTATTTATTTAATTTGAATATTAATTTGTGTAATGTTTATCTTGTCTTATTTTTTTAATAACAAAAAAAATAATGACAAAGATTTTTATCTTCGCCACTGGCCTAAATGTGTGGCTTTCTTTTTTCTTTTGTTACCTAAGGCTTTGTTTTTTAACATAGGGACATTAGTTTGGCTGTAATGAACAGCCACTTCCAAAATATTAATACCAAATTGAAAAAGAATCGTGATAAAAAATCGTGCTCGTGATTTTCCTAAAAAAATCGTGATATGATATTTTTTCCATATCGCCCACCCCTACTACTTGGCCTCGTTGGACTTGCACTTAACCCTTATGTGCTGTTGTGGCTTTTTTTTTTTTAGTCTTAATTACACTTTTTCCTCTTAAAAAATGTGTCATTTTTACTGTTGATAACCAGGTGGAACCATT